AAGCTGGGTGTAGTTTTTTGACAGGTAAGGGCAAATCAAATTAATGGTTGTGTTCCTGAAAGCATACGGTACCCACCAACCCTTCCTTCCTTTGGAAAGAGGAATAAGCCTCTTAGTGTTCACCTTGATTTGTAAAATTCTTCCTCCTCGGAATCAAGACTTACTTAGCGTAAGGAACGACAATGTCAACTCTATGAAAACTGACACGACCAGCTTTTAAAAGAAATGTGTGTGTGTGTGTGCAGAAGAAGGGCGGTGGGAAAAGCAGGGAGGGCAAAATCTGTCACTGACTTCTTGGTTAAAGTATTTTCTTGTTCTAACTCATGTTCTTATGTCACTGAGCTAAAAAGAGAGAGAAGAGGGGAGAGGAGAGGAGAGAGAGAGGGAGAGAGAGAGAGAGAGAGATATGACTCTCCTTGAATGATCTGTTTAACCTAAGCCAGAGGAAAAAAAAGGCATTAATTACTTATGTGAGCTATTGCTTCTGAAAGACAATAAACCTGCCCTGTCGCCATGGATATGACATATTTGCTCTGAAAACAACACAATAATTAGCAAAGGGGAAAGATACAAGGGGAATATGCAAACTCCTGGGTTTAAAGCCACAGTGTTTCTTTTCTGATGCCATACTGGGGTTTTGTGTATGTATGTGTGTGTTTTGTTGTTTTTTTCACTTGTCCGTCCAGTTTGCAATTCAAATTTTAAAAGGGGAAGAAGAAAAAAAGAAGAGAAGGATGGAACAAGAAGCCACCCTGAAAGATTGATTAAAAAAAGAAGAGGAGGGGAAAAAAACACATTTGAACTCCAAGGAAGCATCAATACAGGAGGGGAGGAAGGGAGGGGGAAGAGCACAACACACAAGAGAATTAATAAGATTAAAGGCAATCAAGGATGCGGATTTCATCAGACAAGTCAGGTTTATTTTGCCTTATTTTGAAGTCTGTTTAGGGCTGTTTTGGCTAGAGCCATCTGAATATATGAGCGTATGCTGTGGCTACGTTGCTAAAATTGGGAGGGGGCAGAAGAATATTGGGGAAATAGGTCCGAAACTGTTGCAAAGGGGGAGTGGGGGATCATTCTGTGAAGCTAATTGGAAAAGGAGCAGTCATATTTTTAAACCTATCGCTTTGCCTTGCCTGTCAAGGGACAATGCCACCCGCTTGGGCCCCAACTAGATACATCACTATAGCCGGGAAGATCTAAAACAAAACTTTCCATCGGTCTTAAATTGGATCTGGACGAACACGTCCCGTGACTGTCCAGTTAAATCATGAATTGAGCCTTAAAATGTGGAAAAGGGGGGAAAAAGTTTACTGGGTAATATGTGACCTTGAAGGCTTTACGGGGTAATCCACAAAAACTGCCTCAAAACAAGATGTCTGTTATTTTCCTCTTATTTGACCAAACTCAAAAATAATGCTTTACAAGATCGCCTGTTGGATTCTATCCAGAAGGGTATTAGAGCTACTGGGAAAAAAATATTTGTTGTTAGATTTATTTTAACGTGAAGGGGAAAATGCAGCAGACTTTTTTATTTGCTCCGGTCATTCTGTGCCTCATAAGACAAGTATGTTAAAGAAAAGGCCTTTACAAATTGTTTATGATTTTCTGCTACTGCATTCAGGCAGAATCACTTGAGAACAGAATCCAATTAAAAGCACAAGAGCCGAATTAAAAACCCTCAACTTTCTGTCCACTCCAGGACTTCTGTGGTGTCAACCCTTTCTTAACACATTCATATTGAAACTGCAAGTTGAACAACCAAAAATGCAGAGCTTGGCAAACAAGCAAACACCACCACCCCACCCCAAAAAAATATATCAAAAAGACACATGCTGCTTCTTTAAACACTTTAAACACATATGGGGTTTGATTTCTTGAAGAGATCAGTTTAACATCTCCATAGAAACCAGCAACAGATTATTATCAACAGAATAAATAAGTAGCCTAATAAATTAAACAGATGACAGGAGATCTGGAAATTTGATTACTAAAGTTCACCAATATTCTTCCCCAATATTATCAAGCCTTCGTAGGCATCTGAGATGGATCAAAGGTGGCAACAGAACACAAACAATTATTTTGTGTGCACAGCACATATAGATTGATGCACATGCAACTAAGAAGAGAGGACAAAGACAAGGAACTCCACTCCGAAGATGCTGGTTCCCGAATGCAGTTCCATATGGCTGGAAGGAAGGAACTTTTTTTTTGGGGGGGGGGGTGCATGTGTGATGGGAAAAAAATATGTTGAGAGGAAGGCACACATGGAATTTATTAATCAAGTTCATAGAAAGTTTCACTCCTCTCCCACAGACGCCAGATACCACAGCTATTTAACATCAAACCTTCACAAAGCAACTTCTTTCAGAAGTTTTTTCAGGCACCAAATGGGGGGGGGGGGAAATAAAAAGAAATCTAAGGAGCACCTGCTGTTGAACACACCCCATTCCACGTGGACCCTTGACCCAGCAAGATCTTCTCGTCCCTGCGCTGAACTATATCACAGCACCAGCCCAAAGGTCTCCCGCTTTTCCTCCCAACGCCCTGGGCTCCAGACAGACTGAAGAGTTGCCATATGGACAACAAACACTCACGCACCTTTTGTGTTGTGAGAATGCATTGACTTCTTTCTAGACAAAACCTCCCTACCCACCCCCCCAAAAAAGGAGGTTCATACATCCAGGCATAATTTTACGCAGGCCGTATCAAAACTATTCCTCTCTCCTTCTAACCCAGCGTTGAAATCTGGTTTTTTTTATGGAAGGAGGTTTAGGTAGAAAGAGGGAAGCTAAATGTTGTCGTTCAAGAGGGGAGAAACTTTGTGAAGAAAAGTAGGGAAAATAATACGTTGTTCATTTCACAGAAGGGGTGCTCTCTTTTTCCCAGGAACCAGATTTTTTTCAACTGAATGAACCAAATGCCTTCCGGTCCCCCTGGAGCCCTGCCACCTTCCGCTTCCCATCATTCTGCCTTAACAGCCCTGCTGTTAAGGATGATGAGAACTGTAGTCCAAGTGAGGAAAGCCTTCTGGCTGTGCCTTTAAAGGGACAGATCTGGGAATTGGCACCCAATCTCTTGCCTACAAATGTGCCCTTAAAACCAGCTTAGATTTTTTTTTCTTTTTAACTTTTGTCATTCTCCAGAAGTTTCTTCTTTCCTATTATTATTATTGTTGTTGTTATTGTTGTTACTAAAAACCACTATTCCCCACTCCAGCTGTCAGCTTCCTTGCAGAACTCTTGAATTTTGACTGACAGCGTAACACCTGTTCCCTTGTCCCGGGGAGCAGCCAAACAAGGAGAGGAACCTTCATTAAAAATCCCACTCATCCAAGAGGCTCCCCCCTTTCCAACTCCACCCCTCTGCGGAGCCAAAGCACCCGCCCCTGGCCCGACACCAACGGCGCACCAGCCAGTCTCATGCCCTCCTCTCTACCGCCTCGAAAGCAGAAAAAGGGTCCCTTCAATTTCTCGCCTTCTCTCAGCGGCCCCAAGTTCTAACAAGGGGAAAGGAGACCCGGAGAGGTGGCGCGGAAGGCCGGAGGGGCGCCCCGGATCAGCTGCTCTCCTACAAATACAACGGGGTGCACACAGTCACGAGCCATTCCACGGGAGGAGGGGTACCCCGAATCATCCCCGAGCGAGCACCCCCAAGCGAAGGCGGAGGAAGTTCACAGAGGAGCCCCTTTCCCCAAACAAGCGCGCGGGGAGGCCAACGGTGAGCTTCGCCCAGCGGCGGCGGAGGCTACCTGGCGCTCCAGACCCCGCGCGCCCCTCTCAAAGCCCAAGTCCGCCCGGGATCTCCTTTCCAAACCGGCGGCGGCGGCAGCTACTTTGGCAAAACTTTGAAGGGCCGGCGGCGGCCAGGCCGGCACAGCGGAAAAAGAAGCAGCTTCCGACAAAACAATCCCGGTGGCCACAAGCGCTCGCCCCCCTCGCCCCGACTCCGCCAACTTTCTCTCGGCGGAGAAGCAGCGCCAAAGCCCCTGGTTCCAACCGGGGCGCCTCCGAGTGCAGCCCAAGCGGGAGGGAGAGCCTGCCTGTCAAGCGCCCCCTCCTCTTCCTCCTTCTCTTCCTCCTCCTCCCCACCGCCGTGCCCTCTTTGCAAACTCCCGCGGAAAGTGCTCGGGGGGCGCGTCTGCCGGCGCGGCCGCTAAGCGCCCCCCGCCCCGAGTTCCCAGTTTCTCTTGGTCGGGCCGGCCGAGCTCTCCAGAGACCGGGCAGCTGCAAGGGGAGCGAAGGAGCCGGAGGGCAAGCGGCGCTTCGCCCACCCCGCGCGCGTTTCCCACCCCCCGCGAGTTGACCAAGTCCTGGAAGTGGCCGACGCCCCGCCCCCCCCGCCGCCCCCCCCCCCCCCCCCCCGCCCCGGCTCTCTCCGGACGAGGAGGAGGAGGAGGAGGAAGAAGAAGAAGAGGGGCAGCCACCTGCGCTGTCCTTTCCTCCCCGCGCGCCCCGAGCGAGGAAGGGGCGATGCGAAGGAGCGTGTGCCCGCGGCGGCGGCGGCAGCGGCAGCAGCAGCGCTTCCCCCCCACTCTCCGGGAAGCGGCCAGCGCGCAAAACCTGCGCTTCTCCGGCCGACCCTTGCCTCGGTGGCAGGAAAGCACCCCTTCCCGGGGATCTGCGCAGCGCCAAGTCCCGCGCGCCCCTTCCCGGGCCGCCCGCTGCCTCTGGCTGCCGGTGCGAGCTTCTCCCCCCCCCCTCCCTCCTGCGCCCGCCCTCCCCCTCCCTCCCCCCCTATGCAGCCCCGGACTCTTTCCCGGACGGCAACCGCCCGGTCGCCTCGCCCTCCCTCCCTCCCCGCGATGCCCCGGCGCTCCAGGCGAGCCGCTTTCTCGCCCCGCCGCCACTGCCCAAGCGCGCACGGAGGAAGGGAAGAGTGGCAGCCGCCGGACAAGCCCGGGAAAAGTGCGCGGCCGGGCGGCTCGGGGCACCCCCCGGGGAGGAAGGGCCCGGGACCGGCCGCCGGGAAGCCGGGACGGGGAGAGCGAGAGGTCTTACCTGCACTTGAGCTGCTTTGGGTGACTTTCCAAGTACAGGGAAAAATGTATGTGTTTGGGATGGAGGCTCGGAGCGCGCATGCGCCACCTAAGTTGCCCTGATCCGGGATTTTTTTTCCCCCCCACTCCGTCTCTCCATTTTGCTTTAATTATTGAATTTTCCAATTTCTACCAGGGGGGGCAGGCAGCTCGCAAAACCCGGGCTGGACTTCCAACCACCAACTGCCCCCTCTCTCCCCGCGCTGCGAGGAGAGGCGGGAGACGGGGGAGGAAAAAGCAAGGAATGGACTTTTTTTCCCCAAAGGCAGGGAACTCTAGGTAAGCAGAGGGCGCCTGTAAAACCCGGAGCGGAGATAAGCCCTCTGTGCCAACTCTTTTCTGCTCTTACTCCTCGCCTCGGCCTGCGGGCAATTCTTCTCCCTTCAGCCCAAACCGGGCTTCCCTTCCGGCCTGCATCCTTTTCCGAAATAACCTGGCTGAACTTGGCCATCTCTCTGGGGCAACCTGCACCTAGGTGAGATGCCTCCCTTTATGACCTGCTAACCAGGAGTTTCGGGGCAAGCCTTCTGGGTTTGGGTCCATGCAGCCCTAGTGGAAGGAGGGTCTCTGCTCAGCATGGCCCCAGTTTTTTATCACCTGGGGGGGGGTCAGCGCTGCCTTGGGGGCTGACACCAGAAAGGCTTCTCTGGCCATCCAATAATACGAAGACTAAACTTGACTGGACTTAACATGGGCTTTCACAAGTGCCACAAAGTCTCTTCAAAGAACAGAAACTGGGCGTTTCTTCTGTTACTTTTGCTTTTTCTGGCCAGGAAGAAAGGGCTCTGTGACCTTTGGGGGGTGGGGTGGGGTGGGGGGAGTGCTGGATTTGGTTTACAAAAAAATGCAGACTTGGCACCCCTGCTGATGACTTTTTAGCCCGCAGGGAATACACCTTGTTTGCCTGTAAATTAGTTATCGTGTTTTCCAAACCCCCTTTTTCTACTCTTTTCTCTTTCCAACACTGTTACAACTATGTTAGCTTGGACGTCTTTGCTTAGGGTAGATGCCTCATGGCCTTAAGAGAGGGGTGTGTGTACACACACACACACACACACGCATACATACATTTTAGTTTACTTTATTGTCATTGCGCCTCATACAACGAAATCATAACACCGTCTTCAGTGCACATCATGACCATGAAAATAAACACAAATACACACCCTTCGCCCTCCACACATTGAACCGAAACGAACCCCCGGCCCTGCACCATCGCCGCACTATACAGTAGAATTCAAGAGAGCTCCTGCCCTGGGATAGAAGCTGTTTTTCAGCCTATTTGTCCTTGTTTTTATTAAACTGTACCATCTGCCAGATGGTAATAGTTCAAAAAAAGGGTGCCCAGGATGAGATGGATCTTTGAGGATGTTTTTTATATCTATGTCTATATCTATATCTATATACCTATCTATCTATCTCTATCTATCTATCTATGGTATCTATCTATCTATCTATCTATCTATCTATCTATCTATCTACGGTATCTATCTATCTATCTATCTATCTATCTATC